AAAATTTCCCTAAAAGCACACGATCGGTTTCGCGGTTCTTGCCGCTCTTTAGGCATGAGTTTCCGGCAGTCTTTTGTCTTTTCATTTAACAGTTTCATTTTTCAGTTTTTTACAACCATTAACCATGCACTTTCCTGTGCCGGGTTTGGTTGCTGTCTTTTGGCCGCCCATTTGGATAAAAGAGCAGGAAGAAGATTCATCAATGGACTGGTTCTGAAAGAGCTGTCAAAACAAATGAAGTTATTGTGACGAATAAAGATATATATATATATGATTGTATTAACCAGAGGAAGAAGTTATCAAAAATGAGCTTGAACAAAGAACGCAACACTGCAAACGAGCACGACTTAATTCCGGAATCATTTTACTGCCTCCTAACTGGTGCTTACGGCAGAAAACAAATCAGTTTATATATCACAAACAGCCCACCAACCCAACCGCAAAGAACAACTGCATCATCAATTGCTCGCCATCTGCTGCAGACTGGCCACCAAGCCGATCGCAGGACTTCTTTTCCGGTTGTTTACTATTATCTCCCCACTCATCATGCAGCGGAGCTGCTCGGGATGCACAAGACGATCAACTCAACTCAACTCAACTCAACTCGGTCAAACATTGACAGGTTCAACTCATCAGTCAAATCGACTTGCATCTATCTTTTTCAATGTACTTTTGGTTCATGTTAGGTCAGAAGAACTGAATGCCGGCTATCCAACTGATTGAGTAAGTACGTTCCGAAAACATTTGGCACATAGAGTTAGGGTAGGGAGGAACTTCCAGCAAGTACGACACTTGTTGGGTACCGGGCATTGCATTGTACCTCAAGGCTTTTCGAGCCATATTCTAACTTAGGTTTGCCGAGGCGGTTATTATTAGACATTTGAAGCCGGAACGTTGTGTGCAAAACGCTTTCGTGGTACAGTTACCTTGCCATGGTAATTTTATGGTACGAACCATCAGCTGTCTTCCCCTCGTCCCACCCACTCAAACACCCCATCGTTGAAATTTTTACCCTTCTTTTGGCCATTTGATTGATGGATTTTCCATTCCATTACTTTTCTATATTCGTTTTCAATGCTGGCTTTATCTACACGTCTTCAACCTTGAGTGTATCCGACCAATCGGATTTTACCAGGAAACACCCGAAAGTGATTGGTGCTTTGGTCGTCATCGATTGGACCCGGTTTATCAAAATCCGGTCCACTCGGAATGGAGTAATTTCTTCATAGAAAAACAAAAGTCAGTTTCGAGTGAGCTACCGAGCTATAGATTGAAAGTTTCGGTGGGGTGGGGTGTGGTTTGACTGTCCACTATCCCTAACCCCATCACACCACACCACCAAAATCAACCTTATCCCACTCAGGAACGTTATGTCCTTGACCGCTGATCGAGTGAGATTCAGACGAGAATAAACGAGCCCGGCCATAATTGACCTCTGTCGGACGGGCAAGGAAACGAATCACGTCAAGACGGATTGGTAAATCGGTCACCAGGCTCAGGCGTGAATGTTGGAATGAATCATTGCATAAAGTGGGTTCAATCTAGGTCCTCGATAGAGTTTATCTGACATCTTTGAACCAAATGTAATTGTCTATTTTTCTGGCCTGAATGGAATGGACACTTGACAGCAATGGTAAGAGGACAGAGAAAATCAATAGTTTTTCATCTGAATAGAAAAATCCAATTCGAAGTAATTCACTAGCCAACAGAAATCCCATTTTTCTCTCTGTATACCCCTAGTTGACCATCGGGTTAAGCAGAGTTAAATGCCACCAGGCACGTTCCTGGGTTGTGGATAGGGGATATCTTCACTGAAGGTTGCCTGTGAATAAGTTGTGGCATACCGCAACAAATAAGCGGTCGCGAACAAACAGCGGTGGCACTATCAGGCTGATCACCTGGCTCCTGTTTCAAAGCCACATAAGCCCAATGACGGTGTCGTGACAACAAAGGTCGATGTGACTGGCCTTTTAAGACTAAAATCATTGACACTCTCACTTCCGAGGCGAGGGATTATTTCCTGCTGCCTTGCAGTTCGCACTTGGTTGTGCAAAGACTAGAGGTGCACCCTCAAAATAAAAAAACGTAGAGTGACGCTGGGGACGTCTCTAGTACCAAACTTCCAAGGAACTTCAGAATCATGATCATGTCTGAAGCCAGGTTATTCTTTTCAAGGAGCCAATCGCAGCAAAGTAAAGTAAAGTAAAAATAAGCTGACCATTGTATTCTATTCACAATACTAGTGGTAACAACCCGGCACCTACAGCTTCTTCCTTTGTTACTGAGCTTCGTCGCATTGGTTTCTTGTTTTGTCACTTATCGTCCTCGTCGCATCTTTTCACAGTCTAATGGCGTCTATACGACCTTCATGAATCAGTGACTTATACACGTGGTGACAGGACTAACTCGAAGTTGTTCATGATTCTACAAAAAATGATAGCTTTGCACCAGGTGCTTCATGGGCTAAGGTGTTCGACCTACGGTTACCTTAATGCTGATAAGCGAGTTTCTCTTAGTTGAGGAAGAGTTGCCTCCATGGAAGAATTCACAAAGATTCCGAGGCTCAAAATGTTTTTGAGAGCTAAGCGTATGCCCAATTTGATTTCTGAACGGACATTTATCACCGAAATGAAGCATTTATTACCAGCAAACTTCGACTGACTATATTGTATTTCGATGTGTATTATCCTAAAAAAGATACTTCATCGATTCTGAGAGCACAGGTTTGCGAACAGGGTTGTTTCCACTGATACATCAACTGAATATGTACAGCAGCTTGAGCTCACAGTGGGGCTCATGCATCGGCTCAATTTCTTTGCAACCTCAGGCATCATGAATCCTCTCTATTCTTTCAAATCGTAAAGTATTCCCATTGATGCATAAGAACAAAGTCGAAACGCGAAGAAACTTCTTTTCGACATCTCGCTTCAGGCATTTACATATATAGTTTGACTAGTCATTAGATTAATACAAGGCCTAGACTGATGATGATTAAATGTATATGTGCAAAGTTATCTGTTGACAACAAGCTGTGGGATCACGATAATTGGATAGGGAAAAGT